GGCAGCCATGTAGATTGTGAAGCAATAGCTCAACGAAAAATATAAGCATTTTAATCATCCATATGAAGTATTACTTTACAGAATGACATTTGTACATACCAAGGTGATTATTAGGTCAATATTCCTGATGCTTGTAATAATAATGGTAACTAAGTGAATATGTGATTAAGAAAGAGACACACAGAAAGAGAGAGACATTGTGAAGACCATCTAATTTAAATAAAGTTCTCTTATTTTCTTTCAACTCTGCCAGTATGACTCTCACTTTGGTGTGTGTTGTGAGGCACACAAAATTTGGTTGTAAGTGCACACATTGTTTGGAAAATGATTTTATTATTGCCATGTATTATCATATTTGCAAACAGTTGCTAAATGAGGTAGCCAATAGACGAGCTGTGGCGGCAATAAACCTAATTAATAGAAAATGTACATATTTATATTTATCTGTAGGATTCCAAAGCTCAATAGTTTTTTTGGTTTTTTTTAATGATGATCCAAGCTATTTGCCATACTTATAAATATGATTCAGTGAAATGTTCATTTTAATTTTATCAGTGTTTTGCATTAATAAAGCAATAGGAATTGAGAACCAACTATTTTAGGGAGCATCAGTTCAAAAATGGACAATAGATGCTCAACTGCATTTATGCACTTTCTGAAAAAAGAAGAATATCTAAGTATGCGTTTTCATAAATTAAATACCACTGAATAGAGGTAGTGTAGCTTCCTGATAAAACTGCACTATGCTGAAGCTTCAGGCTACTCAGATGGCCATGCTCTAACAATTACTGTGATATGTTTCATCCTAGGAGGTTCCAGCACTTCCAATTACCACTACATTTTGGGAGAGAAATTTGCCATCTGTTCATGGGCTGCTATTCTTTCTTGGATGGTCTACTTTCATCACCTCATTGGCTACAACTGGATTCTTTGCCTACAAGAAGGGGCTTCTTTCCCGATAATGTATCTGACCCAAAATTTTCCATGTATTTCCTTCATGCTATGAATGTTGTTGCTGAAAAAAGGAAGCCATCTTTCATGCCGTTTGGAACAATTGGGTTAACACATCCCAGCCAATTTAATTCATCTTCCTTTAAAATACAAAGGGAGGCCTCTTTTCTTTCCCCAGTGACTTCCTGCTTAAAAGTTGGTGACTCCTCATCATATATTTCTGTGTAATATATACTGTAATGAGAAGAAAGCAGGCTTGTCATAATCATTGGAAAACTTCCACTTGTCTTTATGTTTTCAAAATTTTATGAACAAAGTGACTGCTGAGCTTTACTCGAACTCCTTCCTTCCCCCAGTCTATACCCTCTGGTTGTGTTGAACTGTGTTCTTTGCTGTTGGACTTTAAGGGAGAAATGCAGCCAGCACATCCTTCAGGCACTAGAGGTAAGGGTGGGGAATGGGTAGGTGCTCTGTAGCTTATTAAACTATCTTCATATTCTGTGACGGGCCTGCTAAATTTCATGTGATGCTGTTTAAAAAAGTAAATGCTGCAAAAAGAACTTTGCTTGCTTCATGCTAGGATTACATTCCCTCAAACCCTTGTATAAAACCTTGTATACATAATATGAAAAAGGCAGTTGTGGGCTGTGGTGTTAAATTCTGCAATCCAAATACATTGACAAATATTATCATACATTTCTATAACCTCCTTCTTTGGCAGTAAATAACTCAAATATGTTTTCTTTCTTGCTTCTTTCTATGTAAAATAAAAGCATTTTCTCTATCTTGTCTGTAGCTGGATTTCTAATGTCTGTGAGTATTATGGCAGATGAAGATACTGAATGCATCATGGCACTATGAATATTATCAGGATTCTTCCTTACGTTGCATCCAATAGAGCAGGGGTGTCAAATTCAAGGCCTGTGGGCCTTTCACTGTGACCGCCATGCCCCTGTGTGGGAAAGCCATGCTGCCAATCTCTCCCCCTCCCCTCATCCCTTCCTAAGTGCAGAGGAAGGAAGATGGGAAGGAAACAGAATGGACCTTTAGGCCATGGGGCTTCTGCCTGCCAGGTGCAAAGGGTGATAGGTGATCGCCGGGATTGTGGGGGGATGCAGCACACGAGTGGCAGGTGGCACACCCCCATCTGGGAGAGTTGAACTGAGAGCCACACAGAGGCCTGTCAGGCGCAGAGGCAACAGCAGGGAGGAGGGGTCAAAAGAGCAGCAGCAGCCTCAAGGAGGAGGTAAGTTCAGCCTGGTGGCCTGTTGGGGAAGGCTAGGCAAAGCTGGGCATTTATCTTCTGCCCAAGGCTCTGGGCAGCCTGCACTGCCATCCAGGGGTCCTCCCCTTGGCCTGAGAGGGATGATAAGGCTGCTCTGGTAGATAAGAGTTTGCACTCGCCCTGGTCTCACCTTCCCCTGCTGGAGAAAATGGATCCCCCCACAGGTGCCCCCAGCCATGAGTAATGTCAGCCTGGCCACACCACGGCCATGGTCACTCAGCCCCCCATGGTCAACCACAAGCCTGATGTGGCCCTCAATGAAATTAAGTTTGACACCCTTGCAATAGAGCAACCCAGGTTAAAGGTTTGCCCTAATGCCAAGGACCCATCATGGCATGAGATAACAGATAATCAGAGTTGGAAGGGACCTTGTAGGTCATCTAGTCCAACCCCCTGCCCAAGCAGGAGACTCTACACCATTTCTAACAGATTGGAGTCCAATCTCTTCTTGACAGTCTCAAGTGACGGCGCTTTCACAATTTCCGAGGGCAAGCTGTTCCATTGGTTAATCGTTCTCACTGTCAGAAAGTTTCTCCTTATTTCCAGGTTAAATCTTTCCTTGTTCAGTTTCCATCCATTATTCCTTGTCTGGACTTTGGGTGCTTTAGAAAATAGCTTGTCCCCTTCCTCTCTGTGGCAGCCCCTCAAGTATTGGAAGACTGTTATCATGTCTCCCCTGGTCCTTCTCTTCACCAGACTAGCCAAGCCCAATTCCTGTAACCATTCTTCATGTTTTAGTCTCCAGTCCCCTAATCATCCTGGTTGCTCTTCTCTGTACTTTTTCTAGAGTCTCAACACCTTTTTTATAGTGTGGTGACCAAAACTGGATGCAGTACTCTAGGGTTACTTACTAAGTACTTACTAAGTACTTACTAAGGCTTTATAGAGTGGTATTAGTACCTCACTTGATCTTGATTGTATCCCTTTGTTAATGCAATTTAGGATTGCATTAGCTTTTTTGGCTGCTGCTGCACACTGCTGGCTCACATTTAGCTGGTTGTCCAATAAGACTCCAAGATCCCTCTCACAGTTACTGCTATTAAGCCTGGTTTCACCCAGTCTATATGTGTACTTTTGGTTTTTCTTGCCTAAGTGTAGCACTTTACTTTCCTCTACACTGAATTTCATTTTGTTAAATATGGCCTAGTCTGTCTAGTCTGTCTAGTCTGTGTTCTAGTCTGTCAAGATCCATCTGGATCTTGAGCCTATCTTCTAGGATGTTAGCTATTCCTGCCAGCTTAGTATCATCTGCAAATTTGATAAGTTCCCCTTCTTTCCCTCATCTATGTTGTTAATGAAGATATTGAAGAGTACTGGGCCTAAAATGGAACCTTGTGGCACCCCACTGCTTACTTCCCTCCATGTAGACTTAGACCCAAATAGTTGAGTACGGTTTGTCAGCCAGTTGCAAATCCATCTGATAGTGGTACTATCTATCCCACTTTTTTCTAACTTACCATAAAGTAGGTTCTGGTCTACTTTGTCGAATTCCTTGCTGAAATCTAAGTATATTATGTCCACAATAATATGTCCAATTTTGTTTCCAGAATGATTTTCCCTTTTATTTTGTGTAAGTGGTTTGGACCAGTTGTTGGCACCCATTTCATGCATGGCAGTAATAGTAGCTATTACAAGTACAGAAATAAGTGGGAGAAAGGATGCACAAACAAAACATGATATAATATGTCCAACTTTGTTTCCAGAATTACTTCCCCTTTTTTGTGTATAAAGGGTTTGGATTGTTACCATGTGTGAAATGGGGTTGATGCCCATTTCACCAACAGCAACACCTATCGCTATTACAACTATGGAAGTAAGTGGGAGAAATAATACAAAAATAGAACAATGTGTAAATGCAAGAATGGGGGCAGAAAAGAGTTTTGCCAAGAAAATATCCAGTTTTGGCAGGGAGACAAGTCAGCATGTTTCCAGACCTTTGGCACAAATGAACTATGCTGGCACAAATCACATGAAAGTGATTTATTTATTTATTTGTTTGTTTATTTACATAGAGTGAATTCCTGGATGACAATGATCACTCTCATACTACCAGCTATCTATTCTTTATCATTAAAGACATACATATAAAAATAGGGAAAAATAACAAAAGTGAAAAAGTAAACACTAATTGATTTTAATCAGAGAGTTGGAAAAATAAAAATAAACATTGGGTCCAGTAGAATAAAAGACATTTAGAAGAATGCAAGTAATGACCACTGGCCATTCATGGGATTGAAGACAAATTTCTAGTCTCTCAAGAATACAAGTTTTCATTTTCATATTTCTAGCAATCTCATTTTCCCAGTTGAAGACCTTATATTTATATTCATTTGATAAATGCATGTCCAGCATTATGTTTTGGATACACACACACACACACCATGTATCTTATTTTTTCTGTTTGTGTGATTGGTTTGGTTTGGTTTGACATGAAATGTGTGATTCCATCTACTATGGTTTGTAAACTATACCTTATGACTTTCTGTAATATATTTTTTTACTCTATTCTGGTTGATTCAATAAGCCACGAAAAAAGCAATTATTTCTATAGGGCAATACGTGTGAATTTAGTCATTTCTTCACAAGTGTGAAAGAAGATATTTGCAGCAGGAAATCTAATGGTAGATCTCTACACACACATGTATATTCCACTTTCAAATATCTATATTCACATTCAACTCTTTTGGCAAGACAATCAGTGAGACAAGTGGGCAAAAATTTTCTTGTATCATTTGTCATAGCCAAATAAATATACAAAAGCAAAGCACAAGAAAGTGATAATGTTTATTCTTTTGAGTGTGAGTTAAAAAACATCACGCTGCCAGATAAAAATATATATAACACATATTTAATAGGAAAATGAACACAATGGATTTCATGAACACAATCACCACAGAGGCACTTTTAGAAGAACAGCACAATTATATAAGGCACAATCACAAAATCCATATCTTGCAATTGGACTGTCACTTTGATTTTACAAAAGGCAAACATGACATTAATCAAGAATAGCAAATGTCTCAACAACTGTTTAGGACACAAGGTATTTCATTAAAAAAAATTAAATTCTTATTTTGAATATTTTTTAAAATTTCCTCTGGAATGGCAACATTACAGAAGAAAATTTTAGGGAAGAGATGCTGGAAGGAACATTACATTCAGTCAATTGTAAAATTTACTTAATGGGAAATTGTAACTTTTAATTGCACTGTTTAAAATTGCAAAGGCAACTGCCTTGTCTCCTGTGAATTAGCTTTTGCACTACACTTTAAGTACCTGAAGATTTCTCTTTCTTAGAATAAATATTTACTTTTATCATTTAAAAAATGGGTCTTCAGTTTTAGAAACCTGCTTCTTCATACGCTATGGATACAAGTGAAAGGTTTTACCCAAATTTTTCTTACAGTGTGGGCTGTGAGCACTTTCTTTGAATAGAGAAAAAGAGACTTGGCAGAAATTAAATATGCTAATTTCTTGGTGCGTATTTTGACCCATACATATCCAAATTAGGATACCAGTATATAGTAAAAGTGGCTTTTAAAATTATCATTTGTATGTGACTTATAGTCAATGTATGCATTTATATGTGAAGCACATGATTTGACTCACTCAAGAACTGTTGGCTTCAATACTCTGTAGAGGGGTTTTGTTTGCTGTCCACACTTCAACATAAAAAAATGTTTGCACACTGACCCATCAAGACCTATCAAAATGATGATTCGGTAGTCAAATGGAGACCAGCATCCTGATCAAAAATATATAGATGTAATCCCATTTGTTTTAAAATAAATTACAACAGCATATATTGTGCCTTTACTGACTCAATGAAGATTTAAAAACACATTTCCAATAATATTTGGAATAGTCACTTACTAAAATATTATTTAAATTATTCCTTATGTTAATTGCCCTTAATAGGTTATTTAGAAGAAGTTATTGTTCTTAGTTTGAAAAGATAACTCTATTCTGCTTTTTCTGTGAACTTTCTGAAAACGTCTAGTTAGCCAATTCACATCAAGAGACTGCTTGACTAAATGAGCCTTCTGGAGATCTAACAATTCTTACACTTTTTTCAATAAACAAGATTTATAGATGAAATTAAATGCTTTGTTCAAAAATGCTTTATCATAAGTGAACAAAATAGCTCAGAATCCACCGTTGGACTAATACAGTAGGACTGTTTATTTTACTTAAAATAAATTCTGAAAGTTGTGGAAAGGAGAAAATTGGGATAATGTTTTACTGATCCAAGTAGGATAGATGTTTCTAGCCTATTTTATTCTTGTTTCCAAAATTTCCATGAAACTTTGCTGCGATATATAGTTTAAGAGTTCAGTTACATTGCAAAGAGCATAATGCCATTGTGACAATTATCAAAACCAGGAACAAGAATTAAAACCTCTCGTTTTACTGAATGCAGTATTTCAGTGTGGCCTTACTAAGGCTTTATAAAGTGGTACTAATACTTGGTGTAATTTTGATTCTATGCCTCTTAACTTTTTTGGCTGCTGCCACACTCTGCTGACTCATATTTAAGTGATTGTCTAACTAGGACTCCAAAGTCCATTTCATGTAACATTTATGTCATCTGTTCCATGTAACATTTCATGTAACAGATCTGGGAGAATCCTGTGTGTGAGACTTTGGAAAGCCTCTTCTAGTCAGAACATACCATGGGGATAGCTCAGGCTCCTCCAGCCTGGATAATTCTTGAAATTCCCAGATTCCAGCCATCTTCTAAAGTTACTGTTACTGCTCAAGCCATTAAAGGGCATAAGGCTATAAAAAGCTAGAGTGTTATTTTTATTACATGGTAACAGACAGTGCTTGTTCTTTTTTCAGACTGAGAAGTAAACATGGGACCCAGACAAATTCTGACCTTCTATATCTACAACCAGCATATTAAAACCATCTCACTGAAATTAAGAGGTTTCTTCCTTACTCCCAACCCCAAGTGAAAAATTGATTTTCTTAAATTTCTTGAGTCCTGTTCTTATATTATGTTACCTATTAAATGAAGACTTTAGTGTGACCCTGAGAAGGTACACTTTTATTAAATATGTTTCAGTATAATGTCTGATTGTAGCATCTGATGACTAGAGTACTTAATTTAAAAATATTAAACAGTGCAATTCCAAGTATCTTCATTCAGAATGAGATCCATTTCAATGAAATTTGCTTTGTATGAAATTGGCCCCTCAGATGCAGTCATCTGAGAAGGGCAATCCAAGAAGAGTCAAATAGAAAGAGGGCAAATATACCTTAGAGTTTTTGTTATATGTAAATCGCTTCATTGACATAAATCTATCTCTAGCAGTATAGCCAAAAACATTTTTTCTAGAAATAAAATCAACTTCTCTCTCTCTCTCTCAAGGACTCCCAGGATCAGACTACTACATTAGCAAATAGCTGTTGGAACAAGGAAAAAGAATAAGTTCACTTTCTGCCACCATCTTTTCATTAATTTATATGTTAAGAAATCAGCAAGGAACTATTATATCACTTCCGACTCCATATAGGATTGCTTCATTATCTTATTAATACCCAACATTTAAACATTTTTATCATATCTTCCATCAATAAAGTATGATATGAAAATAGTATACCAGTCCTGAACAGAATAATTAACTATTTTTGCTGAAGGCAAAGTGTCAGATATTAAGCTGGAACTCAGTAAATGTTTTGCAGACTTAATTCATAAGCCACAGAGTTGGGAGGTAGAGAGATCTGCTTGTTCTCTCCTTTAAAAAGCTGCTCTTGATTCTTGAAAGAAACATAGGAAGAGTCTCCAATAAAGTCTACTGACAAGGTGTTAGAAAGGGAAAGCTAATGAGAAAAAGAATTTTATCTATGTGAAATTGGATCCTGGGGAGAATCCTGGAATCTTCTTTTCTTTGTAATCACAAAAGGCTCACAAAATTATGAAATAGTAAGAATAATTAACAAACAACAGCAGTAGAAGGCATACATTATGCTCCTTTGTTTGTGGTATTGTATATCAGTAAAAAATATTATACAGCACACTTTTTAGAAATTATGGAGCTGTTAGGAAGAAGTAATTCTAGGTTAGGAATGTGCAAAATTTGGATTCTCTGAGTCAAAAAGAAAGATAACTACTTCTGGGCTGAAGCTTATTCGGACTTTTAACCCTTTAAGCAGCAGTCCTGACCCTGAAAAAGACTGAAAAGATCCTGCAAACAGTATACCCAAACTTTGCAAGAGGTTACTCACTTTCCAAAGGAGAAAACCAACATTCTTAATTTCCTATTAATTTCTATGGTTAACTAACCCATTATTTAAGAAATCTGCCCCATTTTCTGCTGCTGAATGAATAATGGCCTTAGGGCCCTTTCCTCTAGTGCATGTTTTCACCACCCACTTGAATATCATCAGATGAGGTATGAGCCAATACATGATATTAAGAAATCCTTTCAAAATACATTGTCAACTGAGAAATGAAGGGGATCTCATCCAAAAGCAGTTTAGAAGCAGAAAATGGGGGAAAACGTTCTATTACTATGGCTAAACAGTTTTCAAAATTACATCTCTTTATGTCTGTCACTGCTTAAGCAAGATTTAGGTCTGATTATATTTTTAAGAAGGATATTATAATCCTGAGTAAAAGTATTCAAATGTTTAAAAGGCCAAAAAATAAGATATGCAAGCAGTCCTCACTTAACCACCACAACCAATCCTGGAATTTTGGTTATAAGTTGTTGCAATCATAATGATATGATAGTGTCACCTAACTCAATTTTATGATGTTTTTATGACAGTCTCATAAAGTGAGGCATTATAGTTATTTATCAGCAAAAAGTCACAAATCTGCCAAAACATCACAAACTCTGGTTATGTGACTGCAGGGCACTGCAACTGATCATATATGTGAGCTGATTACCAAATGCCTGAAATGCAATCACGATTGTATGTGTGTGCATGTGTGTATAGCAGTGCTAATTTCAAAGATAGCTTGTAAGTAACATTTTTGGGTGTTTGCTTTTTGCTGCCTATCTGACTTCCTTTAGGACCCAACTGGTGCCATGGCCATCTGCTGCACATTTGTGCTGCCGGTTTTTTTTCTTTCGAGTTGATTTTTTTTCTTCAGCTCCTGAAGATAAATAAGCTGCAAAAAGATTTTCTTTACCTGCTTCCTTCCCTATCTGTATAATATTCTTCAGCCTGGCAGTCACTCAGTCGGACGTAAATGTGGTCGGACAAAAGCATGAATGAATAGCTTGAGGACTACCTGTAATTGGATTCTAGGCAACTATGTTATTTTCATAGCAGCCAAATGGTGTAGTGCCTTTGGAAACAGATGTTGGACTCTATCATAAGATCCAAGACACCTTGAACTAATAGACAGAATAAACAGAATTGCAATCAACAGTCTAAATCAGTGGTCCCCAACCTTTGTAGCCACAGCCTAGCTGGGAGTGGGGAGAGGGGAACCGGGCCATTCAAGTGGCGGGCCAGCATACACGCACATGCATGCATAGCTTGGCTTGTGCAAGTTGAGCTGCCTGTATGTGTGGGCTGACACCACTCACGTGAGTCAAGCTGTATGTGCACGTATGTTCTGGCCACTGGTCATGCAGCCCAGTTCCAAATAGGCCACAGCCCAGTAGTGGACTGCAGCCCAGAGTTTGAGGACCCCTAGTCTAAATGAGAGGGAAATGATTGTGTTAATGTATATAAATTTGCAGACCAAATTGTATAGTTTCCTATTAGCACATCTGTTTTCAGTCTCACACTAAGAGATCCTTTTTATAGGCAAAGAACCCAGCTGCAGCCACTGATGTAAAGAAAATAGAGAACCCCATCAATTTCAGTAGTCCAGGAACAGAAGGCAAGTTTCTTTCCCAAAATGTTGTAGTTATTGGCAGGGCTGGCACATCCTGGATGGAAGAACATTCACAATTAATGGAGGTTCTTTTTTTCAGGATTGAGTACCAGAAAACAACAACAAAACACAGCTTTCTTATGTTAAACTATTACAGTTTTCTAATATTGTTGGAGTAGGAATGATTAAAGTACAGTGGTCCACATTTTTCAAGCAGAATACTATCCAGCAGGGGTGGGATTCACATTTTTGAACAACTGGTTTCTGTGGGCATGGCTTGGTGGGCGTGGCTTGGTGGTCATGTGACTGGGCGGGCATGGCTAAGTGGTCATGTGACTGGGTGGGTCAAAAGAGAGAAACTCACTTTAACGGGGCTGTGCTGTTTCAAAGCATCCTCTGAAGCTGTGTCTAGTGCCAGGGTTTGTGGTCCTTTCTCTCTTTTTTCCCTCCCTCCCTCCATCCCTCCCTCCCTCTATCCATCTGTCCATCCATACATATCTCGTTCAATTTCCTTTCCCTTCCTTCTTTCTCCCTTCCCTTCCCTTCTCTTTCTTTCTTTCTTTCTTTCTTTCTTTCTTTCTTTCTTTCTTTCTTTCTTTCTTTCTTTCTTTCTTTCTTCTTTCTTTCTTTCTTTCTCCCATCCCTCCCTCTTTCTTTTTCTTCTTCCTTTTGAAAGAGAAAGAAGAAAGAAAGAAAGAAAGAAAAAGAAAGAGAGAGAGAGAGAGAGAGAGAGAGAGAGCTACCAAGCTTTTTTATGCTATTCATGGTATATTTTCAGCTGGAACCTTTCTCTACTTAAATCTTGGTACAATACCCAGATATTTAAAGCCATTAAACATTTTGGATTAATCTTGAAACTTTTTGCATTCTTGTAAACAGAAATAATTTTGTTTTAACATATCTGGCTTCAATTCCAAAGCTACTTTTTATGAAGACCAAGTCATGAAATGGAGATTGGAAACAAAGCAAAGGTTAACCTTCTCATTCTTTCTAAACCTTTCTAAATATCAAGCGGAAGTGAGCCTTTCTACTTGCCATTTTATTACAAAGAATTTACCACCATCTTCAAATTAGAATTGCCTTCCAACAACAAAAAACACGAGTTTGCAAACTGCCTGAATAGTAACAGAGCACATAATTTTGTATGCTACAATCGAACCACAAAGTGGAAGAGGGAAAATATTTGTGAGAAATATTTACTGTTTTTCTTGTCAAATTTAAAAAGCCATTGGGCTCCCTAAAGGTTGTAACAGCAATAGAAGTAATGAAGCAGCAGCTAGGCAAACTGCTGAATAGTCTGAATTGTGCTTTGGAAATTGTGTAATGTGTGCTCTGAAATTGAGCAAACGAATGAGGGCTAAAGGTAAGCTGTTCTCTACAAAATCCACTCTGAACTTACTACACTGGCATGAAAAAACAGAGTTACTTACTTGTTTTGAAGAGGAGGATATGGAATAAAGAAAGAAGATTGGCTCCAATGGTTTTAGGAGACTGCATAGTTTTGTTTACCTAGACCAGTGGTGACAAACCTTTTTTGGCTCCCATACTGATAAATGCGTGCACGCTCGTGTGCTTTGCGCTTGTGTGCCAGCACCCAGAAGGCAATGCGTACTACCCCCCTCACAACCTGCGCCTGTGTGCGCGATCCCCTCACAGCGCATTGCACATCTGTGCCTGCACGCACGATCCCCTTGCAGCACCATGCGCCTGTGCATGTGCGCGAGATCACCCCACCCCATGCCACACGTCTCTGCACATGCACACGCGATCACTCCCACATGCTGTGTGTCTCTGCACATGCATGCACACTCACTCCTGTGTGCCATCCATTTGCACATGTACGCGTGATCACGCCACACGCTGCACATCTCTGCACATGTGCCTGTGGCCCCCAGCATATGGTGCACCCCCACGCGTGCATGCATGCCAGATACTCAACAATCAGCTGTCAGGCGGTGGCGGCATGTGTGCATGTGCAGTGGGACTCTTCCAGGCGAGCTCACTTCCGGCACGCATGGCATAGGTTTGCCATCATGGACCTAGACCCCAAGGCAGTAATCAATACTATCAAATATTCTTTTGGCTAAACATTGAATCCAGGCATACTGGATGGCTGGATGTTTCCAGGTGGCTGCAGGGAGGCCTCCTAGACCCAAAACAAGGCCTAGCAAACCTCCCTGGAGCCTCCTGGGAGCAAAAATGGAGTGCAGGGCAGTGGTGGGATTCAATTTTTTTTACTACCGGTTCTGTGGGCATGGCTTATTTGATGGGCATGGCTTGGTGGTCATGTGATTGGGTGGGCGTTGCTTGGTGGTCATGTGACTGGGTGGGCATGGCCAACTTGACATCACTCACATCAAGGGGTGCCTTGCCTGGCCTCAAAGAGATACAATTTCCCTCTCTATTTACTATTACTGAACATCCAAAATACACTATTTAATCCTATGTATATATGCCATATGTGTACATACATATTACATAGTATAGTGTGTGTAAAGGCACACAAAAAGATACATTATCTACTATATATACTATATGTGTATATAGTATACACACACACACACACACACACACACACACACACACACAGCTCTTCTAAAACTATACACATTCAACCTCACTGCGTTTGGAAAAACACACCCATAGTCCACTTTCTGCCACACATTTAACTTCTGTACAGTAGAACATTGACATGCCTTCAGATTTACTTCCCTAGCCTGCACATGACCATTAGACCCAGGAGATATCATGGATTGAGTAAAATGTGGTGAAACTCACTTAACAACACTCTTGCTTGGCAACCAAAATTTTGGACTCAATTGTGGTCATAAGTGAAGGACTATCTCTGCCTTCCTCTGCATGGCAGCCTTGTCCTAGTAAGCCCCTTTGCCAATTTTCCTCTCTGTTAGAGGCACCAAAATAATCCAGATTCCAGATGATATAAATTCTCTTGCTAGAGCAGGGGGTTGGCCATGCCCACCCAGTCACATGACCACCAAGCAACGCCCACCCAATCACATGACCACCAAGCCATGCCCATCAAATAAGCCATGCCCACAGAGCCTCCAAGGTTCCTTCTAACTCTGCTGTTCTATGATTCTGTAAGGATCTCCTGCTGGAGCAGGGGGTTGGACTAGAAGATGACCTCCTAGATCCCTTCCAGCCCTAGATTGCTGTGCTGTTTCAAAGAATCTTCTGAAGCCAGGGTTTGTGTCCTTCCTTCCTCTCCTTTTTTCTCTCTCCCCCTCCCTGCCTCCTTCCATGTATCTATCTATCCATCCATTCATCCATATATCTCATTCACTTTCTCCTCCCTCCCTCCCTTTTTCTTTCTCTCCCTTCATTCCATCCCATTTTTCTTTGTCTATCCCTTTTCTTCCTTTCTCTGTCTTTTTCTTTCCCTTTTCTCTTTCTTTTCTTTCTTCTCTCTTCTCTCTTTTTCCCTTTCCCTCTCTCTTCCTCTCATCCTCTCTCTCGTTCCCTCTCCCTCTCTCTTTCCTTCTTTCTATCCCTTCCCTTCCTCCTTCCCTCTCTCCTTCTAAAGCTAGAAGAGGAGACCCACCTGAAACAAACACACACCCTTCCAAGCGCCCTGCAGAATCACTTGTTATGAGGGTTTTTCCCGGCTAGTCTCAGGACAGACAAGGCTTCTGGGTCCAACAAAGGAGCGGCGGGCGGGACTTCCTCCCCTTCCGCTTTTGGGGAAAGTTAAGGGCTTGGGACAATAAAGCTAGGAGAGGAGACCCACCTGAAATAAACACACACACACACACACACACACTAACACTTCTAAGCGCCCAGCAGCGTTGCTCGTTACAAGGGTTCTTCCCAGCCAGTCTCCGGTCCCGCGTTGCCTGAAAAAGCCGGCTGGAGACCGAAAAAAGTCACCTCCAGCCTCCCCTTTTTCAGTGCAAAAGGAGGGCTGCTTCCCTCCTTCTCTGCCTGTTTGTTCTGTTTGGCCGAGGAGGAGGAGAGTGGTTGGCTGGTTGGGGGAGACTTCTTGCGCTGCAAAAGAGGAAGCTGGAGGCAACTTTTTTCGGTCTCCAGCCACCCTTTTTCAGCACAACTCTGCTCACACAAGGTCCAAAAAACTTCTTTCAAATCATTTTTGCATAACCCTTATACAACACACTCGTGAAAATTGGGGAGGGAGGGAGTAGGATGAGAAAGATGGGATCTGTTATTAGTCTGACAACTACCTCCAATGTGAAGCCCCCCACCATCGGAGCTCCAAGCCAGCTGGCAGAGCCAGGTCTTTAAGCTCTAATGGAAGGTCAGGGAGGTTGGAGCTGACTTCATTCCAGGGGGCAAGATGTTCCAAAATCATATTTATTTACAAAAGCTATTCAGCAGGTCAAGCCAATTAGTGGCTTACAATATGAGCTATCATGGCTATTAACTATATAGGTAACCCTTGACTTATGACTACAGTTGGGATTGGAACTTCCATCACTACGTGATGAGGTCATGTTGTAGCTTTGAACAGTTGCTAAACAAATGGTTGTAAATTGAGGACTGCCCATAGTTCATTAATTAAGTTCAAAACAGAGTGAGAACCATCATTCCTTTCCATATGGCCCCTTCTCTAATTCTGGGTATTAATTTCATATCTTCTTCCACATCAAATAAAACATTGCATGCTTACAGGTGTCCCAAAGATGCTTTTTCAAGAGGCAGTTGGACTTTCTGGTTTTTCTCTGAAGACATTTTGCTTCTCATCCAAGAAGCTTCTTCACAGTTTCTGAGAGCTGAGGAAGCTTTTTGGATGAGAAGCAAAACATCTTTAAAAAAAAACCCAGAAAGCCCAGTTGCCTTTTGAAAAAGCACCTTTTGGACAATCATGATCTGGATGACTGAGACTCTCCATAGACATACTTACAGGTGATTCTGGTTCAGATTTCCATATTTCTCCTGAATATCTTCCCATCGAGTGTAGTACCTAAAAAGAGATGATTTAAGTCTTAAGTAGAAAACAATCAACCAAAAGCTTTTCCAATGGCCATTTAAAAAGATATCCTGCTTCTGGCCAAAGTTTGGAATAGAATACAGTGCATTATAGGCGCTGTAAACAGGCAAATATGCAAATCTGATTGACATAAATGGGAATTTGATAAAAGTGCAATTTCATTAAAAAAAGTTAATCAAGACAAGCCAGGTCAGATTCTTTAACGCAAATTCTTTTTTTATTATCAACAAACATGAGATTAGACTCCTCCCTTAGCAAGTGATTCATTTTTAAAATAGACTGTTTTGAATGACTAATTCAGAATAATGCAGCTTTATCTCCATGCCAAGTATTCGGTTTCATTTTCTCTTTCACATTGGAGATTTTTCCTTACTCATCAGCACTGGAAGTCATCCCATCACCATCAGAACTTTAGAGTCTTATTTAGCCAGGCCAGGATACCCAGAGGGAGCTCAATGAAACCACCCCTTTTGATACTCTGGTGCTGTTTTAAGAACTCTCTATTTGCCATTTTCTAGGATTGATTTAAGTCCTAAATGCACATATGATATCCAGCTTCTGTAAGTTTGGTTTTAGCTTTTGATATTTAATGCTTTTTGCTTGCTTCTGTCAAGCACCAAGGAAATCAGGAGATTCAGGTAGTTAAGTATAAAGTAAGTATAAAGATGTATTTATTGGGGCATGACTAATGATCTGTTTGACTCTTCCCTCAAGTTCAGCCTGGTCATCTTCTATAGCTTGTTTTTATTACAAGATTAATAAATCATTTATCTTTAAGTGGAGGTCATGCAAACCAAGATGAGAATGCTTGGGTTGGAAATTCATTCAAAGAATCATCATGAAAACCTAAGTAAAATTATTTGATGCAACCGACTCCCTACCTCTCTAGCTGCTCTTTCTCCAGCCTGAACAGCACCTTCCATGTAGCCGCTCCATTCTGAAGCTGTTTCAGTCCCTGCAAAGAAGATCCTCCCAACTGGCTCACGAAGAATCCTTTGAAAGCAAGTGCAAATCATAAAATGCCAAGGGACACCTTTCTCTGATTATAAACAGTGAAAAATTATTCCTAATATTAGCACCTAAAAGGCATCAGCTATGACCTTTTATTTCTGATCAACATCAAACTTGCTCCAGGATATTCAAGCAAAATTAAATGTGGTATTAATTGAATGTAATAAACATATACTTTTCCTCTAGGCCCTTGAAACCTCAATTTGCAAGAGGGAAAAGTCTCTGCTGGTAGAAATAGAAACTGCTCTTTAATGCAATGATATGCACCCGGGATGATGCATTATAATACACTACCATGTTTTCCCTTTCCCCACTTCACCATCCATGTGTCTCCTGAAAAAACTGCCCAAAATAAATTTAACTCTAGCCATTTCAGTGGAATTGAGATCTGGACAGCTCAACCCCTATTTGCCTTTTGTAAGGCTGTGAAAACCACTTCTTTAGACATTCAAGACAGATGGCTATCCTAGCTCTGTTGTTGATATTTTTTATGATTGGAAGATGCTCTTTACTGGGGGCACCATGGATTATTGTTCTAATTGTTGTGTTTTAATCTTTACATATCAGCCAGAGTTATTATTGTGAAATAGATGGCTATATAATGAGTGGCCTTTCTCTTCTTTCTCTGCAATAAAGCAATATCAAACCCATCAAGCTTTGGGTCCCTGGAGGGCGGAGCTGGCATCGCGGTGGTACGACGCGCGATCTTGACCCTCCAAGATCGCCATCGATATCTCTGCTGCTGGATGGTCCCAACGGACCTAAACCATCCCGTAGTGACGGTGATTGATAAGGGCACATCCTGCTGATCCCAAGGACATTGCAAAGTCCCTGGTCAATCCAGGAAAAGCCCTTTTTGCTGGCGGCAGAGAGGCAGCCATTCAAGCTGCTGAAGCTGGGACAGCTCTGGAACGGAACAGATCGGAAGAAAGTGTGTCAGTTTGGTGAAATGAACTTTTACTTATTGTTTTTTTGGAGAGAACACCCTGAAAGACTTAAAGTGGAATTAAAAATGAAGAGAAAAAAGCTTAAGCGGTGAGATTAAGCTAGTTAAATTGAAAGTTTCTTTTTTTTCCTTTTTAGAGGAACTTGGAATTTGGCAAAGCTTCTTAATTTTAAACTGGACTGGTCTTTTTAAATTTCCTATTTTTTTTAACAATTCTCTTGAAAGTCTGCTTTGATTAAGACTCTTATTTCTGATTTGAGATTTATTTCTTTTTCTTTCTTTCTTTTTAAAAAAGAGAAGATTTTACTTTTTTTCTTCTGTTCCTGGCTTTGGATACATGAGGGGGAAGTGAAAGTGAAGAAAAATAAGTAGCACTGCCATCTAGAGGCTTGGATATACTGTTTTCTTTTTTCTTTTACTTGTTTATGTATTTGTTTTATACTCAAGGACTCTGAGCTTTGCACTAAAAAAGATAGTGGGATGAGCATGGCAGATTGTTTATACAGGTGCTCATCTGTGAAACTATAGATAGCTGGAGTCTGGAGTTGAAGTTGAAAGAAAGAAGATTGAAGTGACCTTGAAAATACTGGAACTGGAAAATCTGAGTTGATTTACCAAAGAGTCTTGGATATTTAGTGGCAGTGGCTTGCTTTCTATTAGAATTGTTTGTTATTTTTTACCTTCTATTCTACTTCCCCTCTAGTTGGATTTTTATATTTGGATTTTAACCTTTTAACCCAGGAACTAGAATGTAATTTTTTTCTTTTGCTCTCTTTTTTTTTTTTAAAAAAACAAGTTTTATTGATTTTTAAAACACACAAATTATCATTATTCATTACATGTTTAAACCTTTTTCCTTTTTAACCTTTTTCCATTGTAAATTTAACAAGTCAGATAAATTATGATTCTGTTTTAAACCATTTCCATATAATATACCAAAACCTCTTATTCAATTTCTCTTTACTTCTCTTTACTCTTATTCAATATCATTATTATTATTTCATCTGATTCTTTCTGACTTAGTTACCATTATTCTCATTCTATATTTCTACAAGTTTTTACCAATTCTCCCCCCAAAAAAGACATATACACACAACACACAAAACATAAAAAAAAAATCTTTTTGGAAAGTAACTTGGACCCAGGTATCTCTCTCTTCATGGACTTTCAATTATATTCATGCTCATCTTACATATCATTACTTATTTTATTTACCATTCTAAACCTTCTATATTAACTTCTCCACATATTTCACACTTCTTAATTCTACCTTAATTAATCATCTTAGTTTAAATCATTATATTTGTATCTTTTGTCCATTTTTTATCATCCCTTTGTCTCATCCCTTATGAAAAAAAAAAAATCAGTTTCTCCTGAAATCATTAATCAGAGTATGATGCCTTTCTATCTCCCCCCTAAGTTAATCAAATTAATCTTTAAAATAATATCTAATACCCATTCAGATTTTGCTTGGTACATTCTATCTAACTAATACATCCAACACAATTAAGTGCATAATTAAACAATAAATCCAAATATTAAAAAGAAATACTATAATAAAAATTTTACAATGACATCAATACCATAATTTTATTAAACTCTTTAATTAAAACAACATTCTAAACCTCTCCTATTATTAAGTTTTAAAGCCAATCATTTTTAAACATTTCAACATTTTAATCTCCTATCAACTCCCAAACCATTGCAATACTACCATCTCATCTTATGTACCTTGCAAAATCTTTTTTTTAAAAAAAAAATTATACTTTATCCATTATCCATAAAAAATTCCTTTTTTCCATTTAATTTCAAAACATTGTAGCTTTTCTCCACCTTTTCTCTTTCTTTCTTTTCCCAACAAACCTTTCTACCCCCCCTTCTTCTAGCCTCTGCCTTACCGGCTTCCCTTCTCTGTCGTATTTCTTTTCCCCTTTGTTTACAATCATCATATTGGTTTTGCACTTTATTTTTCCCTTTCTTAAATGTTTTTTTGGATCTTAAGTCCTTAAATCCTTTAGTTTTCTTCTTTTCTCTTCTCTTCTTTTCTTTCTCTCTTCCTTTTTTCTGGATCAAATTCTGAGATTCATTAAAGATGGCTCCTTCCTTTCTTTCTTGTTCCTCTGCTGTCTTCATCTGTTGTAATTTTTGTTGATAATTAGTAAGCGCCATTTCTAAGAAAAGGAAAGCTTCTTCCACACCATCTTTACCATTTTTTTTTGCTTGTTCATATTCTTTTCTTAGTTCCTCAACAGAAAGAGCCATTATAAATCTTTTCTTTTCTTTTCTCCTTCTTTCTTCTTACAACAACCAGAATATTCAAAAGAAAATAAAAAAGATAAAACAGTCCCAAAGTTATCAATCAGTCCAAACCAAGGCAGAGTTCTCACTTTCTCCTTCTGGGGTAATATCAATCAAAGAGAAAGAAAGTCCAAATCTGTTTAAAATCTTATTACAATATATTCTAGTCTTCAAATCCTTAAGGCATCTGCTCCAACAAATCTTAGCATACAAATATTTTCTTCTTAATCCTCTCTCTTCCCACTCATCGCTTAAAACCAATTTCCACCTAAAAAAATAGGTTTCTTAATATCCAGTTATTTATTCCGTAGGAAAAGAGGGAAAGCTATCCTTTCAGCACCTTCAAGCAGCCGCTTTTTTCCTCTTCTGGCAGGTATTATTCAGAGAGTCATACTTTTCAGGAGTTTTATTAAATATGTCTTAGAGTCCTAGGAGCCAAGAAAAACTTTCTCCTCTCAATCACTTTCTCCACTTCCTCCTGCGCATTCTTACCCGGCTGCCAGCTTCTTTGTGGCGGCCATTACAGACCGCCGCTGCACCGTCCTGGGAAAAGGGAGTTCTGCCGGCCAGGGAGGGAGTCTGCAGCACCCCCAAACCCTTCTCCGGATCCCCCCTACTTCAGCTGCCCCTGCAGGGCAGCCTAGCTCCGTACCCGGCTGGGTCGGAGCCCCAAAAACGGCTAGCGCGGCAGGGATCGCGCAGCTTCGCAAATCCCTGCCGCTCGCGAAGCCGACAAACCGGAAGTCCTCTCTTTTTTTATTAAGAGAAATACATAGACTATTTTTTTTCTCCTTCCCCCTACCCTCTTTTTCTTCAAAAAAAAATAATCTTTTTTATCCTTTTTTCCATATCTTCTCTTTTTTTTTTTTTTTTGGCATATTACTGCAACTAATTCGATTAAGGAAAACAAGTGCCTGAAGATTTTTTTTCCCTTTTTATTTTTTGGAGTGGCAGTTGTCTGCCTTTGCTCTTTTTTTTTTTCCTTTTCCCTTTTTCCTCTTTCTTTTTTTTACAGATAAGTATTACAAGATGAGCAGAAAGACAATAGCACCAGCTTCCTCAATACCAATAGCCTCCTCTTCACCATATGTAGAACAATGATCAATACAGACAATGCTACAACAGGAGAAAGAGAAGGAAGTGACATTGTAGATGCAAGGAATTCAGAAGATCGAAAAGAGAATAGAGAATATTGAGCAAAAGACTGAAAAGACAGATGAGAAAGTAGAGAATATTCAACAGATGATGATGAAATATGATGACAGATTTAAGAAAATTGAAGAAGAAGATATAGAAAGAGATAAGAAAATTGGAGATATTGATACTCGATTGAGTGTTGTTGAAAAGGGCAGGAGTGGAACATTAGCATGGGAAATCGATAGATCAGAATTTTACCTGAGATTTCAAAATGTAGAAGAAGGAAAAGGTGAAAACCTTGCTGAAATAATGAGAGAAATACTGGCAGAAGCATTAGAGGTAACCAAAGAGAAGATGATGGATGGGATGGATGAAGTGTTCCGTGTCTATACAAGATATGCAATGAGAAATAGGTTACCAAGAGAAGTTCACATCAGATTTACCGAGAAGATTATTAAAACACAGATACTGCAGGTGGCAAGAGAGAAAACATTAAAGTACAAAGACAAATAAATTGTGGTGATGAAACAGGTATCAAGAAGAGTAAGATAGATGAGAAGAGAATATTTATTTTTGACTAAAGAGTACTTAAAAGAGGAGTAAATTACAGATGGTTGATACCAGAAGGCCTCTTGTTCACCTGGCAGGAACAAAGACACAGAATTGACACAGTCAAAAAAGCTGATCTATTCTAAGATATTCTATCTTAGAGGAAAGGAGGAAGATACAAGAAAAGAAGAGTCATTAATTGAATTTCAAGAGGAGTGTATAGCAGTAATTGAAAAAGAAAAAGAAGAGGCAGTAGGTGGTGTACCCAGAGAGCAACGAGAACTAAGCTCTACCAGAGCAATAAAACCCTCTTATAAAGCTTAATATGGATGAAAGACAATTGATTATGATTAACATAAATGGACTTAATTCGGCTACTAAAAGAAGAAAAGTATTCCATAAATTAGAGAAATTAAAATTTGACATAATTTGCCTACAAGAAGTACATATTAAAAAACAACATGAATATATATTGAAACAAAAAAAATAGGGAAATTATTCACGTCGACACAATGCAAAAAAAAGAGGTGTGATCTTATATGTTAGAGATACAATCTTGGCAGAACTAATTTATACAGATGACGATGGAAGGATTTTGATGGTGGAAATAATGGACAATAATGTTAAAACACTTTTAATTGCAATTTATGCTCCAAATGACAACCAAGAAGAATTTTACAGGAAATTACATATGAAAATAATTGAACTGGACTATGCTAATATTTGTATGATGGGAGACCTCAATGGAATAATTAATGATCGGCTGGACTATAAAACACAGAAATCAACAAAGAAAACTAGAAAGATACTACCAAAATCTTTCTTTCGAATGATAGAAGAAGTAAATTTAAAAGATGCATGGAGAGAGAGAAATGTGGAAAGCAAGCAATATACTTTTTACTCAAACAGACATGCATCATGGTCTAGAATAGACATGATATGGATGTCAGGAGAATTACTTGCCAACATATGAGAAATTGAGATAGAAACAAGCACTTGGGCAGACCACAACCCAATGACAGTCATTTGGAAAGGACAAAAGAGGAGATCTAGATGGACTTTAAATAATATGATATTAAAGGAAAAAGACTTTAAACAGAAAATAGAGAAAGAATTGGTTTTCTTTCTTAAAGAAAATAGAAAAGAGGACATATCTTTGCAGAATCTCTGGGACACGATGAAGGCCTACACAAGAGGCTTGATAATAGACTATACAAGGAAAAGAAACAGAAAACAGAAAAAGACTTTCAAAACATTGGAAGATGACTATAAAAGACAGGAAAAAGAATTACAGACGTCCCTGCAAAAAAAGACATTAAAATTAAAATGGATATAACTAAACATAAAATGGCACTAATGGTAAAAGAGGAATTAGCACAAAAAAATTAAAAATGCTAAACAGAATTATTTTGAAGATGCAAACAAACCAGGCAGATGGTTAGCCTATAAATTGGGAAAGGAAAGAGAATCAAGAAGGATTAGTCAATTAATAAATGAAGAAGGACATGTTTGCTATGGAAATGAAAAGAAAAAAATTATATAAGATTACTATGGAAAATTGTATTATCAAGAGAATATTCAAGAAAAAAAAAGCTAAGCAATATTTACAGAAAGCTAATTTACCCCAGATACCCAAAGATATTGAAACAATGCTAGAAGGGAACATAACGATGATGGAATTAACAGAAGCTTTAAAAAAACAGAATGTTGGAAAAGCACCAGGTCCAGATGGATTACCAGCGGAATTTTATAAGACTTTCCAGGAAATATTGAATCTTCACCGATTAGAAGTCATGAATGAAGTTATGTCAAAGAAGAGAATACCCAAAACATGGTCAGAGGCATGCATTACACTTATACTGAAGGAGGATACAGACCCTTAGCAAGTTAAAAATTATAGACCTATATCCCTACTAAATTCAGATTACAAAATCTTTGCTTCTCTTGGCAGAAAGACTGAAAAGATATTGAAATAACTTTATCCATGCTGACCAAAATGGATTTCTGCCAGAGACAAATCAAAGACAATGTGAGAATAATTCTGGACACTTTGGAATACTATGAGGCACATCCTGACTAAAATCCACACATGGTTGGAAAAAATGATAAAACAACACATAGACTTTAATCCAGAGATCTTTTTATTGGGAATAATACCGGAAATATACAATAAAGGGCTGAAATATTTGATTGTAAATGTCCTGACAGCGGCTAGAATTGTACTTGCTAAGAATTGGAAAAATGAAAAAATACCTATGCAGGAGGAAGTTATTAAGAAAATTATGGACTGTGCTGAAATGAGTAAATTGACATTTGAAATTAGAGAGCAGGAAGATAAGCAATTTTATATGATATGGGATTTGTTTTATCAATGGTTGGACAAAAAGTAATAGATTAGATAATTTTGTAATGGAAGTTCAATAGATTGATTTAAAATATAATATAAACATATATAACCATTGGATGAAAGTACAATATAAATTTCAAAATAAAATTTGGAATATCTTGTATAAAATGATAGAATAAATAGTTTAGTCATGGATGATTAATAACTGATAAATATATAAGCATATGTTAGTTTGACAAAGTGAAAATCTATATAAACTGTGAGTAATGACCACAAAAGGATAGCACAAAAGATTTGTAACCAACTGACACACTGTATGTATATAAAATGGAAGATGTTTTTATGTTTTTCTTTTTTGTTTGTATATGTTTATCTTAAAAATAAAAACTTTTATTAAAAAAAAAAAGCTTTGGGTCCCTGAAAATATTTTGCAGCCAAGCCTAGATTGATGTGATAACAAGCCAAGAGAATGAATTGCAGTCCTAGCTTCAAGAATTTCTAAGAAATCCACACATTCCTAGTTCAAGCAGGTGAAAATTTGGGCTTTTAGCTCTGTCACCATCCTTTTATATACTGACCTGTGATTATTTGACTTCAAAGTACAACAAAGTTGTATATTTACAGTATTTATACAATTGCATTATATTTATAATTATGTTTTTATATTAATATATTTTTTAAATGTGTATTAGAATTAGTATTATCCCTTACAGGTAGTCCTTGACTTGCAAAAGTTCATTTAGTGACCATTCAAAGTTACAACGGCACTGAAAAAAGTGACTTATGACCATTTTTCATATGAGCATTGCAACCTCCCCATGGTCATGTGATCAAAATTTAGAAGCTTGGCAACTGAGTCATATTTATGACGGTTGCAGTGTCCTGGGGTCATGTGATCACCTGTTGTGACTTTCCAACAAGCAAAATCAATGGGGAAGCCTGATTTAATTAATAACTGTGGCAAGAAAAGAGATAAAATGGGGCAAAATTCACTTAACAAATGTTTTGCTTAACAACAGAAATTTTGGTCTTAATTGTAATCCTAAATCAAGGATTATCTGTTTTAAATAGCTACAATATATTACTAAAATATGTTTTTAAAGTGTTAAGGTAAATTTTATTAAATATATGTCCAGAGACTAATCATGTTAAGCTTCATTAAATTTTTAATTATATGTAAATATAAACAAAAACAAAACCGTATAGTTTTTGTCCTGGATCCAGTTATTACTTTTTGGATTTTTTTTCAAAAGTATGTGGTGTGAAAGCTACATGTGCCCCTCACCATGGAAAAAGCTGGGGACAGTTGTGATAGGAGTGTTTTTGTAGGCTGATGGTGCATGTAAACAGCTGATGGTGCAATGTATTCAACTTGATTAAATAAGAAAAAGGAAACAAAACAAAAAGGAAACTGATGATAAGGCTATCCTAACTACTATTCAACCATTTGTACAAGGGTGAAAAAAAATATCCAAGTGTAATTTATAAATAAGACTCAGTCGTCTGATACATATATAAAACTTTTAGACAGAAAACAAAACATAACAATAGGCATGTACAACATCCATCAAGCCAATTCATTGAAGCTTTTTTCTTTTTTCTCCTGTACCTCATATTTTCTTTACCCCTTTCTTTTTTCTTTCCTTAATTTCCTATTTTTATTCTTCTTTGTATTTTATACATTGATAAAACAATAAAAGTTCTAATATTAAAAAAACTTTTTCTATGAACTCAGGGAGCACAAATGTGTGCTTTTCTTTTAGGATGTGTTTTTCTGATGTTTTTCAGAGTAATCTATCAATAATGTCAAAGTTCTGCTGAATTCTGAAATTAGCTACAAATCATTGCTCAGGAAGGCTACAATTAAGGCTACAAGAAGGCTACAATACATTAATTATCAATAATGTATCATGCATGACTTGCTATAACACATATCACTTTATGCAAAAATGATATAAAGCATAATATCATTCTGTATATATGAGAAGAGGTACAGAAACTTATCATGGCCATAAAAAGCATTATATTTATGCAGTCCCAATCTAGCAGTTTAATGGGAAGTAAAATAGCAAAGGAATAAATGGATATAAAATCACAGAAATCCATCACTACTGGATCAAGGCATTAAAGACAGTAAAGAATCTATCAGCTTAATATATAATTACTTTTAATATCCAGTTACAATAGTAAACCCATTATAAATATAGATTTTGAACTGCAAATTAATATGCACTATTTTATAGGATGATACATAAATTTTAAAAATTCCTAAATATATTTTCCAATTACAAATGTTATCTTGTTGCAGGGACTATTTGTTGTCTACATAGTGTATAGCTACAAAATGCCATCATTATTCTGGCAAAAGTATTTAATTAATTGCGCAATTCTTTGCACAATCCCCAGAAGTTATATCTATGGAGCAAGTTAAAGAAATTGGTTTAAATTAACCGAACATGAAGTACTTCATATTCTTCATTGACTCCTTAATCTTAACATTCTTATTTATGATTACCATACCTTCCATACTGGGTCATTATCCCTGGTGGAAAATATGCTGTATAGCATCCTCCGGAATATTGTTCTTCACACCAGTTCTTCTCTTCATAGTGCACTGGCTACAAAATCGTCATTAACAAATAATGAAAGGAGACAAAAATAGATACTTTACAAAAGAAAAAGAGAACACTTTGAATTAACTATTGTCTTATGTCATTTCATTTCTAAGGATAATAAACATATAAATCTACTTTAAAAGATGATAGGAAACAAAGATAGTATAAAAGTTAAATCACCTTTGTTCCCATTAATTACAAATCTGTAATAATAGATTTGTAGAACAAATAGAACAAACATAGCACCTTTTTATGCTTAGTACTTTTATAAACATAATGCACTTCAACATTATGCATTGATGTGATCAAAATCTGTAACATTCCAAGGCGGCTGCCTCAAAAGAATGCATTTTCCATCAATTCAGGCAGCCATTGATATTAAATTTTCAAAGAATGTGGAGTTTTCACCTAGGCATTCACAGGAATATTTTGCTTTCAGTGTTAAGACTTGGATATAAAATAAGATGCATGTCGACTTGCTGAAACCAGAATGGACAAGTCAAACTAGCTGTTTTGTCAAAACAAACTCCACCTTACACAGGAAATTCATTACTGAATATCCATCTGATTCTTGTGATTTAACTTTTTCTCACGTCATTTTTAAAAATGTTATTGTTTCAGAAAAGAAAAAAATGACTAAAGAACATGTTCTATTGAAACTTACTTTTCTTCATAAGGAAATTCCTCACAAAACTATGTGAAAGAAGCCAAATGTTTATTCAATAAAAACTTCATCTGCAAATCTTATATTTTATATATTTATATACACTACTCAAAAAAATAAAGGGAATACTTAAACAACACAATGTAACTCCAAGTCAATCACACTTCTGTGAAATCAAACTGTCCACTTAGGTAGCAACACTGATTGACAATCCATTTCACATGCTGTTGTGCAAATGGAGTAGACAACAGGTGGAAAGCATAGGTAGTTAGCAAGACATGCCCAATAAAGGAGTGGTTCTGCAGGTGATGACCACAGACCACTTCTCAGTTCCTATGCTTTCTGGCTGATGGTTTGGTCACTTTTGAATGCTGGTGGTGCTTTCACTCTAGTGGTAGCATGAGACGGAGTCTACAACTCACACAAGTGGGTCAGGTAGTGCAGCTCACCCAGGATGGCACATCAATGCGAGCTGTGGCAAGAAGGTTTGCTGTGTCTGTCAACGTAGTGTCCAGAGCATGGAGGCACTACCAGGAGACAGGCCAGTACATCAGGAGACGTGGAGGAGGCTGTAGGAAGGCAACAACCCAGCATCAGGACCGCTACCTCCACCTTTGTGCAAGGAGGAACAGGAGGAGCACTGCCAGAGCCCTGCAAAATGACCTCCAACGGGCCACAAATGTGCATGTGGCTGCTCAAACAGTCAGAAACAGACTCCATGAGGGTGATATGAGGGCCAGACGTCCACAGGTGGGGGTTGTGCTTACAGCCCAACACTGTGCAGGACGTTTGGCATTTGCCAGAGAACACCAAGATTGGCAAATTCGTCACTGGCACCCTGTGCTCTTCACAGATGAAAGCAGGTACACACTGAGCACATGTGACAGATGTGGCAGGGTCTGGAAAACGTTCTGCTGCCTGCAACATCCTCCAGCATGACCAGTTTGGCAGTGGATCAGTAATGGTGTGGGGTGGCATTTCTTTAGGGGACCGCACAGCCCTCCATGTGCTCCCCAGAAGTAGCCTGACCGCCATTAGGTACCAAGATGAGATCCTCAGACCCCTTGTGAGACCATATGCTGGTGCGGTTGGCCCTGGGTTCCTCCTAATGCAGGATAATGCTAGACCTCATGTGGCTGGAGTGTGTCAGCAGTTCCTGCAAGATGAAGGCATTGATGCTATGGACTGGCCTGCCCATTCCCCAGACCTGAATCCAATTGAGCACATCTGGGACATCATCTCCATCCACCAATGCCACGTTGCAACACAGACTGTCCAAGAGTTGGGGGATGTTTTAGTCCAGGTGTGGGAGGAGATCCCTCAGGAGACCATCCGCCACCTCATCAGGAGCATGCCCAGGCATTGTAGGGAGGTCATACAGGCACGTGGAGGCCACACACACTACTGAGCCTCATTTTGACTTGTTTTAAGGACATTACATCAAAGTTGTATCAGCCTGTAGTGTTTTTTTCCACTTTAATTTTGAGTGTAAGTCCAAATCCAGACCTCCATGGGTTGCTAAATTTGATTTCCATTGATAATTTTTGTGTGATATTGTTGTTAGCACATTCAACTATGTAATAAACAATGTATTTAATAAGAATATTTCATTCATTCAGATCTAGGATGTCTTATTTTTGTGTTCCCTTTATTTTTTTGAGCAGTGTATATTGGATTTATATATACGTCTCCATTTGCCTTCTTCTCCCATTTCCAGATCTCTTGATGTATGTGAGTGGTACAAGAATAGCGTATTAAAATTATCAACTGTTAAATTACTATTTTCATACTATTAACTTACAATGTTTAATTCTGAAGTGGAGCAGACCCTAGAGATATTTTGACAATAATAAATAATTAAATTTGCCGTCACATTTGGCCTTTTGCTAACGTGGCCTATGACTGAAATAAATCATTATCATGAAATTTAGCTTCAGCTTGGCTTCTCCAATTGTAAACATATCTTAACATATCTGCCAAGGTTCATGAATGTTCAATGCTACCTGATATATCAGAAATTAAGTTCTTACATGTAAGGCTTCTTGTGTTCCCAGCACCTTTGCATAGAGCTCACAGATCTGTGTTTTCCTATGAGAGAAACATTAATGAGATATACCTCGCCTCTTTGAAATATTTATTTATTTTATTTATTTATTTGATTTGTCAATCGCTTACAAGATAATAGGTATAAGTATATACATAGTTATGAATACATGAAATGGGTACATATAAGAAAAATAAAAGAAACAATAGGACAGGGGCGGTAGGCACGTTGGTGCACTTATGCACGCCCCCTACAGACCTCTTAGGAAAGGAGTGAGGTCAATAGTAGACAGTCTAAGGTTAAAGTTTTTGGGGTTTGGGGAAGAAACCACAGAGTCAGGTAGAATATTCTAGTCATTGACCACTCTGTTGCTGAAGTCGTATTTCCTGCAATCAAGTTTGGTGCGGTTAACCTTGAGTTTGTATCTATTGTGTGCTCTTGTGTTGTTATGGTTGAAGCTGAAGTATTCATTGACAGGTAAGTCATTGCAATGTATGATTTTATATACCATATTTAGATCAGATCGAAGACAGCGTAATTCAAGGTTTTCTAGGTCTAGAATTTCAAGTCTGGTGGCATAAGGTATTCTACAACAAGTAGAGGAGTAGCTTTTGTTTGGATTTTCATTCATCTTTTAAGATTTGCTAATGATTTGTGCTTTCAAGGATTGAAGCCATATTGTAGAAACTACCTTCTACAGTCTTTTGTTGTTATTGTTGTTGTTGTTGTTGTTGTTGTCAAAGCCAAGTCTCAGAAATCAAACATATATATAAACAATTTTTGCAATCTGCATGTACTGTTGTTAATTGGAAGAGACATGAGAATTATAGACATCCTTATATTTGCCTGGGACCATTGACAAAAATGTTACAAATGACCATTCAAAGACAAAAGATGAGGCATATGTCTTTCCCTACCAACAACTGACCTGTGAGAGTTTCTATGTTGAAAAAGGATTTGACTTGTGCATTATAGGCTGCCTTTTAGCAAGAGTCATGTGCTTCCTACAAACTGGTTCCACAAATGGCTCTTTTTCAACTGCTTGCTCAAAAGAAATATTTTGTATCCATGCATGAAAACTGTAATCCCCATTTAGACAGATTTCCCAAATACTGTATGATCCTTGGAAGAGCAGGGAGGTCTAAACTATGCAGATGACCTAAAAGGGTACACGGTTGTATGGTGCTGTTAATTTTATCAATAAATCCTCAGTCAGATAATTAACTACCGTGTTTCTCATATAATAAGGCCGGGTCTTTTTTTTTTTTTTGCCCCGAAAAAATGGCTAGGTCATCTTTTCGGGAGTGACTTAATTCCCCCCCTTGCATCTTCGGGCGGGCGGGTGGCGACAGCTTGGATGTTGACCTCGGCGTTGGTGGGGCACTTCGTATTGGGGTCAACGCAGGCAGCACCATATCCGGGCATGCAACAAAAGTACTTCCTAACGGCAAGCCCCCCCACCATTCCCCCCATTTTGCATGTTTTAATATAGGCCTTAATTTGGGGGGAGGGTCTTAATTTCATTTCATGCCTATAAAACATGCTGGGACTTCCTATTGGGGGAGGCCGTATTGTTGGAGAAACAGGGTATGCATCAGACCAAATATTTTTATCCAAGATGAGACAAAATGATCCACATCCTAGATTTAATTGCTAAACGTTTGAAATCACATGGTACTATGTGTGTGCGCGTGAGGGGGGAGATTAATCTTCTCTTTACCAATCAAAAATAGATACATACAAAGAATATTGACACTGTAGAAAAAAATGAACTATTATGAAGATAGTTGCTTGTTTTGTTTTCAGTGTTAAGCAAGAATTGAGAAAGATATGTTAATAATGCTACTCTGTGAATAGATACCATACAGAGATAGAATAGCTTGATGCTATGAGTGATTCTATCAAGAGCAGAGATTCTCTTAAGGCAGGGGAATTTCACTGAGGGTTATGTTTGACTTAGGGGGACTGAGGTGGGCATGGCTTGAGTGGGTGTGAACAGGGTAGACATGGCCAGCTTGACATCACTTGTGTCGTGGGCACCTGTGGTAGCCAAATGCTAAGGCAGAACTTCCCTCAGACCCTCCCACACTCTCATTATAATCTCCTTCCTTCCTTCCTTCCTTCCTTCCTTCCTTCCTTCCTTCCTTCC